ATTTTGGCCTCGAGGACTCCTGCACTGTAGAATATCAGAATGGAGGGGACCTTCAACATCTCCTAATCCAAATGTTCATTGGAGATTGAGGACCAGAGGGAGGAGGTAAGTCAGAACTGACTTGAGTAACTAACAATGTGGATTGACGGACATCATTGTTGATATAAAGTGGATTTTAGCTGAAAGCAGAGAATACCAGAAAGATGTCTGCCTGTGTTTTAATTGACTACACAAAAAAAAGTAGTTGATTGTATGGATTGTAACGAATTATGGATAACATTGTGAAGAATGGGAATTCCAGAACACTTAATTGCTCTCCTGCTGAATCTATATATAGAACAAGCAGTCATTGGAATAGAACAAGGAAGGAGATATTGCATGGTTTAAAATCAGGAAAGGTGTGCATCAGGGTTGTATCCATTCACCATAGTTATTCAATCTGAATGCTGAGCAAATAATCCAAGAAGCTGGACTATATGAAAAAAACAACATCGGAATTAGAGGAAGACTCAACAAAACAACCTGCAGATGACACAACCTTGCTTGCTGAAAGCAAAGAGGACTTGGAATACTTACTGATGAAGATCAAAGACCACAGCCTTCAGTACGAATTACAACATAGAGCAAACAAAAATCCTCATAATTGGACCAATAAGCAGCATCATGATGAATGGAGAAAAGATTGAAGTTGTCAAGGATTTCCTTTCACTTTAACCCACAATCAATGTCCATGGAAGCAGCAATCAAGAAATCAAACAGTATATTGCATTGGGAAAATCTGCTGCAAAAGTCCTCTTTAAAGTGTTGAAAAGCAAAGATGTCACCTTGAGGACGAAGTTGTGCCTGACACAGACCATGGTATTTTCAATCACCTCATATGCATGCAAAAGCTGGGCAATGATTAAGGAAGATCGTGAAGAACTGATGCCTTGGAATTATGGTGTTGGTGAAGAATATTTGAATATACCATAGACTGCCAGAAGAATGAACAAATCTATCTTGGAAGAAATATAGCCAGAATATCCCTTAGAAGGGAGGATGATGAAATTTCACCTCATGTACTCTGGATATGTTACAAGAGGGACTAGTCCCTGGAGAAGCACATCATGCTTGGTAAAGTAGCAAAACAAACGTGTTGGCATCGGGTCGATTCTGACTCACAGTGGCCCTATTAGGACAGAGTAGAACTGCCCTGTAGGATTTCCAAGACTGTAAATCTTTACAGAATCAGACTGCCAAATCTTTTTCTGCAGAGTGGCTGGTGGGTTCAAACTGCTGACCTTCAGTAAAGTAGAGGGTCGACAAAAAATAAGACCCTCAAGGAGATTGATCAACACAATAATGGGCTTAAGCATAGCAGTAATTGTGAGGATGGCACAGGAGTGGGCTATGTTTTGTTCTGTGGTACATAGGGTTGCTATGAGTCCAATTCAACTTGTTTCTTGACTATATAATAGCAACAGTAACAATAGCCAACATTTCCTGAGCATTTTGTGGCAGACACCATAGAAAGTCTTTCCACGAATTATCTCAATGATTCACAATTATGCAAAGAAATAGTTTCTATTATAAATTTAAATATTTACCAAACTCCTTCCACCTGGAGAAAAGAAGAGAGAAAATCATTTTTATCCTGAGACCTGTCTCTCTAGATAGGTTGGACTCTGGCTGAGAGCAGCACAATGGGGTATTGTTCTTCTGTCTCCTCCTCAGGGCCTCAAACACTGTTGGGCAGAAACATCTTCAGTGGACACTTGATTAGGGTGAATAACTGAATTAAAAATTACCAAAATCCCCCTGCTGGGCCACTAGTGACATTAGTCTCTTTTCATTTTCCCATCCCCCACTATTGGTAGTTTCCCTGAAGAGCCAGCCATTGTGTGGTTTCTGTGTTTTTGTGCATACGATTCCCTCTACTTGAATGCTGACCCTCCCCGTCAGTCAGGATCAGTGCCCTCTGCTCTCAGAAGTCTCCTCCCACTCAGCAGACCTGGGTCCTGTACCCGGCTTGTTCCTGGGCCACATCTCCCCAAGACCAATGGTTCCATGTGCTTGTCCGTGTCTGTTGATGAGTCTTTCTCCCTTACCCTGAGATTCTTCCAAGCAGGACAGAGATTCTCTCAAGAGCCACAGCTTCTGGCACAGTACGTGACATAAGTAGGTTTTCAATAACCATTTAAAATGAATGGAGCCTTCCATAATCTGGCTTCTGCCGTTCTGCAGCTGTGCTCTCTCCCTCCACCTCTCCCTCACCTCCCGCCTCATTCCTCCATCAGGTTTCGCCTCCATATCCTCACCCCACCTTGCTTCAGTCCTCTTCATCTCTCACCTGGGCCGTTTAGCAGTCTTCTAATTGATCTTTCTAATTCAGCATCTCCCCATCTTCCACAGCACCCACACGCTTGTGTGCACGTATGCGTGCACACAAGCATGCACGCGCACACACACGTGCACGCACACACACGCAAGTACTCAACTATCTCTATCTAGGAGCTCTGGTAGCACAGTGCCTAAGGCACTTGACTGCTAACCAGAAGGCTGGCGGTTCAAACACACCAGCCACTCCTTGGAAGGAAGGTTGGGCAATCCTTCTTCTGTAGTGATAGTGCCTCGGAAACCCAAGGAGGGGTCGCTATGAGTCAGGGCCGACTCAACAGCACATGACAACAACAACAACATCTCTATTTATCCATTTCAGCTATCTGTCATCCTCTGCTCACTAGCCCTTGATGGCTCCCCACTTGATCATATACAACTCTCGACTCTGTCCTAGGCTCACCATTCATCTCTCACTGCTCTCCTCACATTACTCCCTTGCAACTTCCCAGATACAACGCCTCCAGAATTTAGATGATCAAAGTCCAATCTCAGAAAGGCCTGGAGATATGAATGATGGTCTTTATCTTTAAAGAGATTATTGCTTGCCCCTCCTACCCTCCACCACCCACCTACCTAACATACAGGTAGGAATCTACCCTAAAACCCACAGGTGATCAAACCACTCCCTGCTTGAACCCTGTAGTGACCCCTCACTCTCAGAGTGCAAAATCCAGGACCTAGAGACTCTTCTTCACCTCACCCCTACCTAGGTCCACACCTTCACCTGCCCCCATTCTTTCCCCAGTTGGGAGCTCAGGTTTCTCCCAGGCTTGTAACAGCTTTCCCTGTGGCTCCACAACATCACTTCCCAAACTATGTCAGCAGCCCCTCCTATGAGCTCACTTTGCCCCTAAGCCTATCTCTATGACTCCACATTATCTCCCTCATCTTATTGTCTGGCTGGTTTCTGCCTCCTCCACCAGACTCTGAGCTCCACGAGGGCAGAAACAGGATTTAATCCACTTTTTTTCAGCCCCTACTTCTTACAAAATACCCTTTATAAGATAGACACTGAAAATTGTCTTTTAAATGAATGATTCAATAAGATAAATTTTAAAATGATAAACAGCACACTGAGGGCTCTGTAGCTATTTCTGGTGGGTGAAATTTTGAATTATGTTCTTTTAGCTAGTTGGTATTTCCTGATATTTCTGTAATGAGTACGTTTTGCTTTCATAATAAGAAAGAACACCAAAGGAAACTTCATTTGAGAGGTGGGGAGAATTTTGGGACTTCAAAAGAAGGGAATCTCCTCATTCAATAGTGAGAATCAAGAGGAGTGTTTAAGGAACCGTAGAATTTCTACTATAGAAGGGGGGTGGGCCAGCAAGAATGCTCGCCCTATGCAGAGCTGGGCTGTGTGATGGTAGAGTCAGGTGTATCACAGGTGTTAGGTACAGGGCTTTGAATGCCAGGATGAGGAATTTTTACTGCCATCATTGAATGTGGGGAATGTTTTTTAGCGGAAGGAAAACCTGCTCAGAACTCAGCATCTGGAGCACTAAAGAGGCAGCAGTGGCAGAATCAAAGGATGAGACAGGAGACAAGGGTGGGGTGCTGGACACCTGGCAAGACTGGCTACAAACTCTATTCTCCTCTGGGGCATCTAACTGCACATCCAGGAAGGTCTCCTGGACTGCCCCAACCCTAAACCATCTTACTATTGGGTCATAGATAGTTGATTATTAGTTCTATTCTCATCTCATCTGTCTTCTCACCTGGACTGTCAATCTGGAATTCCTCCTGCTCCCAGTGTCAGACTACCCAATCAGCAAGGTAAGCAGGGGTTCACTTGTGCTTATTTACTCATCTGTAGTGGACGGTTTCAAAAACATGTGAAACTGTTCAGTTCAGATGAGTAAGTACAAGTAAACCCATGCTTATCTTGCTTATTGAGTAATCAGTCGGCCCCTGACTACTCCACAAGATGTGCCAAAAAAAAAAAAATCATGCTTAATAAGTGATGAGTTACAAGGAGCAACTCAGGGGAGAAATAAAATCAAGGAACTGCCCTTCAAAACGAGCCCAAAGCAGAAAGAGCCCTCGTTCACCTGGCAGCTGGCCTTGGGTAAGGGGCCTTTAGCCCAGACGACCCGCGGAGGGTCTCCCAAAGCAGAGAGTTGGGCGGGAAACCCAGAATTAACAAGAGGAGAACCGGAAAGGCGGAAAGGCGAGGCCTCCCCTGTAACTCGCTGGTAAAGTGGCAGGGGATGGCGGTCTGGAAAAACTCCTGGGTAGATTGGTGGAAAGAGGAGAAAACAGGGTACGGCCAAGTCGGTAGTGAGAGGGCTGAGCCGGAAAAAAGAGGCCAGAGTGCGAGGGGGTTCCAACGGGGCCGCTAGGATCCTAGTCTATCCAAACCTGGCTTGGGCGGGCCGCAAGGCGTGGGCGGGGCAGGTAGGTGGGCGGGGCAGGTGAGGCCGGGAGGCGGGGTTGGCGGGGGTGGAACCATTGCACATGCGCACCGCACCCGGCTGCGCGCCGTAAGGAGTGGCACTTTTTAAAAGTGCTGCCAGGAGCCGGAGTCCAAGCCGACCACATTTCTGTCCGAAGCCTAGTCTCGCCCATCCCAGTCCAGTCTAGTCCTACACCATAAGGCCAAGTCCAGTCTATTCCGCAACATGCCGGTCAAAGGAGGTACCAAGTGCATCAAATACCTGCTCTTCGGATTTAACTTCATCTTCTGGGTGAGTGAGCGCTACTGCCGCGCGCTCCTCCCCGGGGCCACCTGTTCCTGGGCCGGAGTCCGCGCGCCTGGGGGACACTGTCTGCTGCTGGGGATGCCAGGCGGCCGGGGGCGCAGGCAGCTGGCACTACTCGCGCGGGGCGGACACCGGGCGGGAAGAGAAAAGGCACTGAGGCCGCCAGCTGGCTTTTGTCCGGATCCGGAGATGGGCGGGGCGGGCACTTTGGTGGGAAACTCAGTGCGAAGCGAGCAGGCTGGGAGAAGGTGAAGGTCTCTATGGAGATGGGACTCTGGAGAATGTCTTGGCCCTCTCCTTTGCCGAGGGATTTTTGACTGGTTTGTGTCTACTCCCACCCAAGCTCTTCCGAATGTAGGGGAAGACGGGAGGGAGAAACGGAGCACCCCTCTCCTGGGAGCTCAAGGCCCTGACCCAGGAGAACTCGGCGGGGGTGCAGTTAGTGACAGGGATGGAGTTTCACAAGTGGTATCGGGCGCCTGGAGGGGACGATCGGGCATTCTGCGGGACTTGGTGGCGCCGGAAGAGCTCAGCGAAGAGCGATTGACACTTTTACCCTGGAGGGGAACGGGCGGGCCTGCCGGTGGTGTCCGCCCTCCGAGGTTCACTCCCCTACTGAGGGTCGAGCCCGGGGTGTTTTTCCTACTCTTCCTGGGTGAGCAAACAAAGTGGAGACCCAGCGCCTCCACTCCCGAGGAGGAATCTCGCAGGCCCCTATTCTCTCAAAGTTTGATTCCGAGGCCGAGGCCGTGGGAAAGTCCGAGCTCCCTGGAAGCTACCTGAAAGACTAGCTTGTCTTGATTTGTTTTTTCACGAGGGCGATAAGTATCTTAACTGGAGAGAACTCTGGGAGAGTTGGGGAGAGGAGAGGCCAGATGCCTATCAGCACTTTCAGTGGAATGAGTCCTGTGTTTCTCCATTTTCTGGGAGGGATCAGGTGCTGCCTCCTGCTGCCCACCCAGGAGGGCCTCTGGCCTCACCCCCTCCCCTCTAGCCCAGAGAGGAGCCATTAATCTGGACATCATACCTGGGCAGGTAGCCCCAGGGACAATAACAGCCAGCCACAGTCAGCCTTTCTGCAAATGGGAAGGCAACAGAAAAGGAGAGCATCTACCCCACATCTTCCCTTGGAGGATTAAGGGACTACGAAGAACAGAAGCAAGGAACAGGTCACCTTTGTGCCTTGGTTCTGTAACCACTTCTCCTGCACGTAGGTGGACAGTATGTGCCCCTCTGGGAGCAGGAAGGGGTTTGGAAAGGCAACCCTTGTGCCACTCTCAAATGAGATGGCCAAGGGAACGGATATATGGATAGAGATTTTGCTACCACAGGCTTATCACAAATAAATGTGCTCATTCCCCTAGTCGCTGGGGTCCCCAGGAACCTCAGGACAAATCTAAGCTAAAGGAGTGGTAGAAGGGCAGTTTTCTTTCCTGCAAAAACTGCCCTGCTATTGCAAGGCACCACACCCAACGCGCACACCCTAGGGAGAATCGGACATAGGTGTGGCCCTGCCCAGCCCTTGACCTGCTTTGGGGAGACCCTTGCTGTGATGAACACCCCTTATTTCTGGTGTTTCCAAAAGAACCCAGCCAGCTGCCTAGCCAGGAAGTCTTTTCTCACTAAACCGCTGGCACCAGTAAAGAATGTTGGGAGGCTAGCTGGCCCCAACCCAATCCACCCCACCCTTGTCCTTTGGAGAGTTTTCTTCTTACCTCCCTAGCACAGTCTCTCTTTAGCCAGGCTAGTCTGTTAACATCTCTTAGTCAGTCCTCAGCTTTCTGCCTAGGCTGTATCAAGGTTTGGGAAGAGGAGGATACCACAAACTGCCACAGTATGCCTCTACACACACCTATCTGCCCCATGACATAGGCAGGAGCCTGGTGGGAGGCTTCCAGGACCACCCCAGTAACCACTCAGTCTGTTGCCTAAAACCAGTTGCCGACAAGTCAATGCTGACTCATGGCGATCCCATGTGTGTCAAAGTAGAAACGTGCTCCGTAAAGTTTTCAGTGGCTAATTTTTTTGGAAGTAGATAGTCAAGCCTTTCTTCCGAGGCACCTCTGGGTAGACGTGAACTCCAGCCTTTCAGTTAGCGGCCAAGCATGTTAACTGTATCACCCAGGGACTCTTAGTTTCTTCAATACTGTCCTCAACCTGCCCTTCTACTCGTGTTCAGAGCTCCCCTGCTTGAGCTGGTCCTGCTGGTCAGCTATGTAGTCTGAAATAGAATGACTCACTCGTGGAACGTTTGGGCTCAGAGTTGGGGATGATTTTTGAGATCATCCAGTCCAGTCTTCCTCACAGTGAGAACAACGAGAGCCAGAGAAGGGGGTGATTTTCCCGGGATCACACAGCTAATCAGAGACCAAGCCAAGACTACAACTCCTGGGACCTTACTTCAGTTCTGTCCTTCATCTGCATCACAAAATCACCAAGGGGGTGTGGTTATGAACTGGTGTTGGTAGATGAGCAGTGCCTCTGTTTTCCTGAATTAATTATTGTTCTGCCACCACGTACCAGAATTTATAGAGGTGAAGCCCCATCTCATAGGAGATGATGGGATAAAGGAATATTGACATCCATTTGTGTACAGTTTTGCAGTTTGCCAAGTCCCTTCTCTTCCAAGACTTGCTTATGACCTATGATATAGCCATAGCATTATCCCCATTTTCCTGATGATCAAGAAATTAGTCCCCAAGAGAGGTTAAGTGACTTATCCAGGGTCCTGTACATAACAGGATGATCTCAAAAGTCAGTCTGAATACAGGTTAGGTTGGTTGTGAGTCCAGCATATTTTCCCTTACAATATGCTGTCTGCCTGCCTGCCCCAGCTGGTTACTGTGTAGAACTGGAAGGAGGATAGGCACAAGCTCTCAAAAAAAAACTTTTTTTTAAATTTTTTTTATTGTGCTTTAGGCCCAAGTTTACAGAGCAGAGTCTGTTTTACATTCAACATTTCATTTCCATTTAGTTTCACTCTCCATTTACCATCCCCAACCCTAACCCAGTCTCCTCCTCTCCCTGCACAGTAACCCTCCCCCCTGTGCCCCTCATAGTTGTGCACTCCTGTGTGTCCTGCATTTCCTCTGTGCTGATGTTGGTCCTCTGGTGCCCCGTGGTCGATTGCTCTAAGGGATGCATTTCCATAGAGTATGTGGGTGCATCATCCTGGGTTGGGTGGTCTGCGTGTACATCTTGTTTACTATTGAGTTGAGAACTAGCTCCTGGGTGTAAGTTTTATTCCAGGCCCAGAATGTATCCCAGGACCATTGTATTACAGGTCTCACCGGACTCCATCCGACTAGTAATTCTGGTCATTATTGTGTTTTTGGATTTTGTTCCACATTTTTCCTCCCACTCTATCTAGGATCTCCAGTTTTGAACCTTTCCTGTGTGGTTGGCATTGGTAGCCAGGCACCATCTAGTTCTTCTGGTCTCGAGGTCCATCATGTCCTAGAACTGATTGCTTCCAAATGCCCTTGGTTTTTTGCACTCTTCTTCTCTTCTGACAATAGGAGACCATTAGCTGTATCTTTGATGGCCTCTTGAAAGCTTTTAAGACCCCAGTCACTACTCACCAATGTAGGATGAGGAACAAGATTTTTATGTATTTTGTTGTGCCAATTGAGTCTAGTGCCCCCCAGTACTGTGATCCTTGAGTGGGTAGATCCATTAGATTTCTCTCCCACAGTCTCTGGCTGTCTGTGAGGGATTACTCTATATCTGTCTTCTGTTGTTTCTGTAAGGATTGCAGGTATTTTGTATCACTGGTATCTGTGTAGAATTAGCCTCAGCTGAATCTATCCTTGGTCTAGAGTATACTCCTGTTCACTGACCCCATCTGATCTTCTCATATGTTTATATGTTTATCTGTAGCCTGGTGTTTGGTGTTAATGGTAATGCAGTATTGTGAATATACTGGTTGGTATTAGCATCTGTTGACTGTATCTTATGTGCACAATTCAGTGTCCTCCCTTTTCCTAATATTATGGTGGTCACAGACTCTTTCTATACCTCCCCTTGCCCACATCAGCATGTGGGCCCCAACTAGCCCAAAATTAATCCCTTCCCTTCCCTCCCCACCCCGGTAATCTACGAAGTTTGCTTTCTTAAGCAAACCCTTCTTTGTCTTTTTACAGTAATGGGCTCGTACAGTATTTGTCCTTCTGCGATTGAAAATATCTTTTAAGGGAAGCTATGATCTAAAGAAACTTCTTGGGTGATTATGAAGTCATCACTTCCCTTTTTCAATCCCTCTCTTGAGAATAGGACTTTATAAACTTGGCATTTGGACCTGATACAGGCCTTGACAGGAACCCTGTGGCACAGTCACTATTGGCTACTAACCATTAGCAGTTTGAACCCACCAGCCACTCTGTGAGAGAAAGATGCACAGTCTGCTTCCATAAAGATTTACAGTCTTGGAAACCCTGTGGGACAGTTCTGCTCTGTCCTATAGGGTCACTGTGAGTCAAAATTTACTTGACAGCAGTGGGTTTAGTCATGAGCCTTGAAAAGAAGTTGTGGGGTCAGGGTCCAGCAGTACCCTTTAAGCAGAGGAACTCAGTCTGGCCAAGAAGCCGGGTAGAGTGGCCCTCATCCCTGTGGGACACTCAGTGACAGCTGAGCCTGGGCCACCTGCCGTCACCCAGTAGGGCCTCTGATGCCCACAGCCAAACTAGCAATCAGTCTGTTCTTCCAACGCCCCCATAACCCAACCCTCCCGGCGCTATTTTGGTTCCGTCTACATTTCCTTCAGACCTCCCTACACACCCGCCCCCCCCAAAAAAGGTTGAACGGAAAAACATCTTATTTCAGAGTAACAAACTGCACAACTATTTCAAGGAGACTCAGGCTAAGGCAGGGCCAGGAATGTGTCTTTCCTGTCCACCTCTGTCTGCTTCTAGACCTACATCTAGAGGATTTCCTTGAAATGGTCAGTCAGGGAGATGACCTCAGGGCAGAGGAGGGAGGGTGAGGGT